AATTCATTAACCTATAAAAATAAGACACATGTCATTTAAACAATACTTACCTTGTCTTCTCTCTGCGCGTGAGCTAGAATAAATTGGACAACAATTTCAATTTAAACTCACTCTCTTTTTCTTTAGGTGTCTTCACTCTCTGCCCTGGCACACCTTGCTAGGTGTGCCAGGGCACACCTAATTATTTGCGGGTGTTATGATGGTGGATTCGTGGAATACTCTTGAAATGGAATGGTTCTAATTTGGTAGGCTCAGCCTAATACAAAATTGGACGATGTGATTGATATGCCAATTCACACCGCAAAATTAACAAAAAAATATTGATTGTTGCTAGCTAATTAATTTTACACCACCTTAATTGCAATAAATTGTACTATAATTCATAGCACTTGCTTAGTATTTAATTTAGGGCATCTGTTTGACTAAACAATACAAAATGTAAGAGTCGCTTTCCAAATTAACCAAATGTGTTAAATTTTTGTTACATGTTATTGGACATTCTTTTTTTTTTTTTTAATAAATGAATACTTTTGAACAGAATAAAGTATGATATATAACAGTATAATTATGTATTATTACCAAAAAAATGTACAATGAATCGGTCTCTTAATCATTACGAGTGCATTATTTCATAGCATAAGTATACATTTTGCTGGAAAAGTATAAGGACTCTACATGAATATGAGTTACACCAAATGGAATAAGATATTGTGTATTAAATTTGGGGAAATGCTACAGTCCCGTTATTGAATCTATCCGCGAAATTTGTAACTGTTATCTTCATGTAACCGTCATGGATAGTTAATATAACAGTTACATATTCCGACGGAATAATTTTGTATCAGGACCATATATAATCTCCTAAAATTTGATGTTATCAAAGGCTCCTAAAATTTGATCTTATCAAAGGCTATTCCCATCGGGTCAAAAGCCACACTTTGTAGCGGGACTTCTTGGCCACCGGGAAGCTAATTTTGTAGCGGACTTCTTGGCTTCTCTAGCGGCTAAAGTCCCGGGTGGCTTGCATATTTTAGAGCGTCCTCCTCCGGGAGTGGGTTTGTGGCTTCAACATGATATTGCCGGCGTGTCTCACCCTCGCCGGGTGTTGATATAGCCAGGTTTTAGGTTTTGCCTCATTTCTTGTACCAAAAAAAAAAGCCACACTTTCTAAATCCACGCCTTACTCGGCTTAAGTCTGAAAAGGTCGGATTTGACAAATCTGGTAAAATTATTTGATGCATAGAAAAGACGTGATATGGAACCTAATAAACTACTAAATTGTGCAATGAGATTTTAAGAGGTTAATTATGAGAGCATTAAATCAAATAACTTTTCATTTTCTTGGTCAAATTACAACAGACTCTCGCATTTAAACTCTATGGACAAAAAGGGTATAAGTTTTGAGGTTATGATTAATAGGTGTTAGGAATTAAATCATTAGACAACTTATCAGGCAGTTCCAATACAAGTTTTTGAATAAAAATGTAATGTTATCCTACCTACGGTAGACACATGTTAATATGCCCACCACTAATGTGACATGCACACATTGGTGATGTATTTTTTGAAAATATTAACAATTTAACATCACCAATGTATGCATGCCACATAAGCAGTGGGCATATTAACATACAATAATGCTAAAGAGTCAACAGTTGGCTCCGTTACGGAGCCAACAACCAATGAGACAACTCCAGGTGGAGCTGGCCCACAATACTTTAATGTGGGACAACCCCACATGGAGTTATCCAATTGGTTGTTGGCTCCATAACGGAGCCAACTGTTGGCTCTTTAACATTACTGTATTAACATATGTCCACAGTAGATAGAAACTCTAGAAATTAAGGCTTCATAATATTTTCTGATAATATCCAAATGAAAAAAAAAAGGAAAAATTAATGCTTTATTGAACCATGTTCGAAGAGTCCAAAGTCAGTTTGCAGTGACGTAGAATACTGTAGCCATGCAAGTTGATACGATTCATACCCATTTTGCGTGTACCCGATTGAAAAATATTGGAAAATGTAAGACGGAGAAAAAATAAAATAATAAAATAAACCAAGTAAATATATTTAGAAAAAGATGTACCTACAAACTTGTTAATATCATCAAATCTAATCAATGTATTCGGCTGAAGCCTTTAAATATTGTTTTCATCAAGATATCGATTTGATACCTGAATATATCGATTTTATTAAAAAATATCAACCAAAATATTGGATATATTCAATTTTTTGTTGTTAAAAATAATAATTTTCTTTATCAATATTTTCTTTTTATATAAATTGAGAGTTCTATACATTTTAATATGTTTATATATTTATTAAATTTTTATCAAGTTTAGTATTAATTATAAGGTCAAAATACACCAAATCCCCACGTATTGTACTAAAATTGCGTGCTTTCTCATTCTTGTTAGAATATCACTTGTGAGTTGTCCCACATCGTTCATACATGGGAAATAGACCTACCTTATAAGTCTAATGGGCTACTCGAAAAAAATATAAATCTAATGGGCTACTCCTCCTTCCACCAATTGGTTTTGGGATGGAACCTCACTTGGGCTTCATATGGGCTTTTCTTTTCCCCCATTTTCTTACATGGTATCAGAGCCGATTCTATTGATACCGTGCAATGACGTACCCGTTTATGTGTTAGAATATCACTTGTGAGTTGTCCCACATCGTTCATACTTGGAAAATAGACATACCTTATAAGTCTAATGGGCTACTCCTCCTTCCACTAATTGGTTTTGGTATGGAACTCCACTTGGGCTTCATATGGGCTTTCCTTTTCCCATAGTTTCTTACAATTCTTTTTAAAAAAATGTGTGAAACTCTCTTATATTTGAATAACCGATGCATACCCTCCCTTCATTTTGCCAATAACACCATTAATTTTTTAGTAATGCTACATAACCAACCTAGTGTACAACTAGGTTGACAACACAAGTGTAAACATTCATAAAATTAAAAATAAAAAAATATACAAGTGGATATTTACACTTGTGTTGTCAATCTAGTTGTACACTAAGTCGACAATGTAGCATTTTTCTTAATCTTTTTAATAAAATTTTTGTTATACCCTCAACATATTTTATGCTCCCTCCTTTTTTAAATAAATGTCGTTTTGATTTTTTTGATTCATCTATTTTGCTATGTATTTAGACATATTAATGTCTAGATACATAGCAAAATGGATGAATCAAAAAAGTCAAAACGACATTTATTTAAAAAAGGAGGTAGTAATATTTATCATATTACTTTAAATCTATCGCGAGAAATTGAAAAATAAAAAAAGTCAAATAACGAATTGTCCATGTTAGCCGCTGGATAAAATGAGAAGCCAGTATTTTTTATCTGACCCCTCAAATTGTCCCTTTTGTTTTTTTTTCCCCATTTTTTATCATTAAAATACAGTCCCCACCCCAGCTGACTGGCAACATGAACAAGGGTATGTAGCTAGCTGGTTGTAACTTGGAAGGAACCCACAAAAAATTGTCATATATTATGGGAAAAGAATTACTATCATATTGCCTTGTACGCAAGAGCAAAAGTCAAATGCATAGCCTAATAGAATAAAGCGCAATGAGGAAAAAAGCCCAATACAACAACAACAACATTATTCCCAACTGGTTGAGGTCTGGAGGGTAAGTTGTACGCAAACCGTAATTATACAAGGAGGTTGTTTCCGTAGCGACCCAAGGTGCATTGCGTCGTTTGATATATTTTTTTTTTCTAGAAACTTCACTAATAAAAGAAGCACTAGAATTTAATTGCACAATAACAAACCAAAAAGCGCTTACAAATCAAAATCAAGAAACAAAAAGGAAAGTGCTGTGCAAAATTGTTGTGTGAGGCTGTGATGTAGAGAAAGCGTACGAATGGGAAGGATAAAACGAGTAAACGAGATACTCTCTCGTAAAACACGGGATACTCTCCCAAAAGAAAACACGATATCTTATTTCATTCAATATTCAACTCACGTACATTCTGGCCAGACTGCTAATAAATAGAGTTCAATATCTAGGAGTCCCTAACTTGTCAAACAAGTAAATAAAATATCTTCCTAACCAACTAATCAAGATAATTAAGGAATAATAATAATAATAATAATAATAATAATAATAATAATAATAATAATAATAATAAACATATATATATATTCTTCATCAGGCTGTGACTGACTAATCATATACTTGTCTCACAAAGGCCTGGTCAAAATATATGCTATGGAATATCTCAACTTTCAACTGCCAATATCGAAAAAATGAAAAGAAAAGTATAATTCTTTACTCCAATAATTCAAGTCGAAAAAAGTTAAAAGTAATTCCTATTTATATTCGCACAAAAAAGCACCGCGCGTCGTATTCATCAAGCATAGCACGAAGAACTTCCCATTTCACTTTGTTGATTTCACAACAGAATGAACTAATGCAGGACAAATCATCCTTTTCCACTTTCATTTGAAAACAGACAGTGTTAAAAAACCATATCCAGACCAGAGAAAGAGTTTGAGATTAAAAGCAATTCCACATTTTCACGAAAACCCGACATTTTTACTAGGAATTACGGAACTTTAACCAGTTTCTTGCTCGAATTCATCACCTTCAGATTCTTCCCCATTGTCAGCATCATCATCATCATCTGCATCATTGTCGTACTCTTCTTTTTCGTTATCAACAGTGGTTTTCCCGATAATAATCAGGTTGCTATTACCCTTCCTGATTTCATTCAACTGCAAGAGATCAATCAAAGACATAAAGAATAATTGAAATGAAAAAAACTATCATCTTTTGTGTGTATTTTATAAATTGGTAACTGAAATGAAAAGAACTATCATCCTGTAAAGGGAGTGTTGCCCACAGGACAGTTAGTTGCAGTCAAAAGGCTTAAACAGGTTTCTATACAAGGCCTTGTTGAATACACGAACGAGATTCATTACCTTCCGGATCTTCAACATAGAAACATCATCAAGCTACTCGGCTATTGCAATCACCGAGAAGAAAAGCTGCTCGTGTATGAGTTCATGGAGAATGGAACCGTGGATACTTACATAGGAGGTCAGAGGATGTCTGAATTTTTCTACTTATTTCATAATGCAACATTTTTTATTTGACACAAACTTCTTCTAACTCAGATGAAGTCCAATGTGATATTCTCCAATGGGAAGTACGATTCAAAATCATAAAAGGGATTGCTCAAGGACTTGTCTATCTCCATCAAGATTTGGGACTTAGGGTCATTCACAGGGACCCTAAGTTAAACAACATCTTTCTAGACTCTGAGATGAATCCTAAAATCTCAGACTTTGGATTGGCCAGGACCTTAGCAGAAAGCGATCTCAATCAGAGACCACCCGGTTAGCCGGGACCTAGTAAGTATCGGGTCCATGCACTCCATTTTTTTTTCTTGGTTTTTATGTACTCTTATTTCAGGCTAAAAAGTCAAGGAAGAAATCGGCACTTGGAAATTTCCCACGGTAACTTGTCTAAAAAATCGGCACTTGCAATGCAGCCTGTTTATACGTATTTGTCCTTTAAAGACTCAAATGGGTAAAAACTTCATCTTTTCAGCTCAAAATTACTCCCAAATTCACTCGTCCAGGGCATATGAACACGATCTAAAACTGTACAATCATCCTGCATATGATTTGACACAATCCCGTTCTAGCGCTATAAACCTCAGTTATACTTCAATTAGGGTTATTATTAGGCAAAATAACCCACTGCAAACAATAATTGAACTTCGAGGAGCGCAAACGAACAGAGTCCATGAACTCAAAAATGAAATATGAACATTCTTTTCAAGCTAAAAATCGAGGTAAAATCACAAGCAATCAAAGATCATATATTATCGGAAAAAACATCAAATAATATCAGCTCGTTAGTAGAGTTAATGAGAAAGACCTTCTCTTCGTGTTCTGACTCTTCCATGGCGAGGAGCATCTCGTCGTTTTGGGGCTGCGGCCACTGGGCCGGGAGCAAATACGACGTCGGGATAGTCCGGGTCGACGATGGGTATTGAGTCATGAACGCCGGGTACTGCAGCATCTTCCGATGAGTTCTGTGTCTTCAGAAAAGATTGTTGGCTTCTTGTTACCAAGATTGAAGAGTAAATTACAATGGGCCTAAAGACTACGTTTAGTTTAGTTTGTAGGCTCTGTATTTGGGCTGTTGACAGTGGAAATATGGGCCTAGGGATTGTAAATTGCAGCCCAAACAATCAAATAGTAACATTTTTTTTTTTTTTTTTACACAAAAGCAAAATGTAAAAGGGTGCAAGTGAGACTAGAACATTTAAACGAAACGAGTAGATCCTAAGACCCACTCGTTAGGGTTCGAATTGAGCTTAGCTAATTTGATATACATGGCGAACTCAAACTTGTTTAGTTACGGCTTGACTCTTTGAGATTCGTTAATGCTTGAAGATAGAGAATTTCATGTAATTTTCTATAACTCGACTTGTTATGCCATGCGTTCAGTTCGTTGAGACTCATAAATGCTTGAAAATATAGAAATTTATTTAAATTTCAACAACTCAACTCGTCATGATTTGAGTTCAGCTCGTTAAAATCCGAATCCGATTAACTAATATTGATAATTTTTTTGTCGATTCATTTATTTAACAACTCGGCTCGATAAATATTCAAGCCTAAGCTCGGGCATCAGGAACTTGAGATTCTTGAAAGTGTTTGTGATGTGGTCACTACTAATGGTGTTCATCGGTCGGTTCGGTCGACCGAGACCGATCGACCGAACCGAACAACGGAAACTGAATTCTTGAAAGCTTTAAGAGGAAAATTCTTGAAAAATTCTTAAGAGGAAAATTCTTGAAAGCACGGGCGTCACTCGTCAGGAACTTGATATGATAAATGTTCAAGCCTTAAGAGCAAAATTCTTGAAAGTCTTGTGATGTCACGACACACATTTTCTAACCAAACATTTCAAAGTCCATTATTATCTACGCTATAAAACTGCTGATATATTCGTCTCACGAGTCTATCTCCGTTTGCAGATAAGAATACGTTTTCAAGTACTATTTTCTTATTCGCAACAGTTTTCATTAGTTACTTTCTAGATGGAAACCTCATCCTTTATTAAGAAATTAATAATAGCTTATCATTTCCCTTCCCTATGGTATTTTTTTTAAGTTAATAAAAAGGACGCTGCACCATAGTTACCAAAAAAAAAAAAAAAAAAA